AAGCTTGTGCAGAAAGAGACAACAAGAGAGGAACATGGTCCGAAACTTTCAACTGATGTGCCTCGAGACACCCACTCACGGCGCCGCGATAAGCAACGATGCGAAACGGAAAATACTTAGTACCTGCCGTCTCACTCCCAGCCTGTCCTCCTATACCGCTGTGCGTCTTGCGCTGTCTGTAAACCCATGTAGGACAGAAAAACGATTTCTCGAATTCATCCTCTGCGTTGAGAGCCCCAGCTTTGCCGCGACAACAAGAATTACAACCTTCGTCTAGAATGGCCCAAACACCTTCGTCCTTGAAGACGTCAACCGTACGACGATGAGAAAGAGCCGAATCTTCGGTCGAAGCGTTCTGTGTTGGGGCCATAAAACCGGCAAGACGGTGATCTGTGACTTCTGCGACACAGTCGTGAAGCAACGAAGTTAGTTCACCTGTGCTAGTGGCACCCGTATCATCGCAAATCTCAACAGCACGTTTAGTGACGGCTTTAGCACAGCCTTTAGCTCTACAGAGGTGATGCGGCGATCCTCCTCGATCGTATTATCAATTGCTTCTGCGTGGATGTCGCTGAAGCGTTCAACTTTCTTAGCTGTTGCTTTCTTGCCTTATGCTAGCTTCCTGGGTTGCTCATCGATGCATGTCAGGCAACGACAGCGATGCGCGCGAACAACATCTGGAACACTACCGCGATTATCTACGAGATCGTGCGGACCCTCGCCCGGAGAGCGCAGCGCCGTGCACCTCTTCTTCTTGGTCTTGTGCCCGCGCTCCTTGCAGGCGCGAGCAATGAAGCCGGCGCCGCAGAGAGTTTCCCACGTCCTCGAACGCACGGGCGAGGCAGCGGGGGATCTGGAGGTTTCCTGTTCGGGCCAGAAGAGGAACTCGACGAACGCAAATTTGTGTCACTGGAAACGTTCGGCCCCGAAATTCTCGCGAGCTGTCTTTTTTCCGTCCGAGTAAAGTTGCTATCGGCCCATCCTAAGATCGGAGCGATATCCTCACTTGGTTTCTTCGCCTTGCGCCCCCGACCCGGGAAATCCGGAGCGCCCCAGAGAACGCGACCATGGCTGCGCCTGCGCGCTGACCCGACGCACAACATGGCATCCTGACCACGAAAAGAGATAAGATCCGAAACAGATTCCTCCTCCTCGCACTCCCCATCAGAAACGCTAACCACAGAGTAAGATTCGGTTGAGCGAACGGCCGTGAACCCAATAGAATTCCCCTCAGCCTCTGCAGAGGTCGGAAGACTCTTCCCGTGAAGCTCTGGGGGTCCCTGAACCGCAGCGGCCTCGGTCATTCCCGCGCAACTCTCGCCGACGTGATGCTCGACGCGGCTGCGCTGCAAGCTGCGCTGTCCGCCCCCCCCCCCCCGCGCGCGCGCGCCCGGCGGCGCGGCGCAAGACGCAGGGCGAGAAAGAAAAGCAATAACGAGAAACACCGGGATCCATCCTCATCGACTCCTCCTTGCTCCGAATGGTATGATGAGGGATTGATGGCGATGCAGCAACGGAACTGACGGATGTGAACTTCCGTTCGTCATCGCCCTCGCGCAACTGGACGCGGCGCTCGCCAGTGTCTCCAGCGCGCGCTGCCATTGCCGCCCTGGGCTTGCCCACGCATTCGGGGCCCCCGGACCAAGCGGCCTGTTTCGTGGCAAATCTTGAATTCCAAACGTTTCTTGATATCCTCGAGTCGCTTCTTGCGATCTTCCAAGGAAAGCCCCCCCTTGCCGCCCCCCCTGGGCCGCCGGGGCGCGCGGCGGCAACCCTTGCCTCCGCTCTTCCCTTTGCCCTTGCCCCTCACTTCGGTGCCAAATTTGGTGACCGGGTCCTCTTGGATCCTGTCTGAAGCTTCTTCCTCCGCGTATCCGGCCTCGACCATCTCGTCGACCACCTCGACGTCGAGCTCGCTGCTATCTTGGACAGGGGCCCAGCGAACATGCGATTCATCGTCGGCGCAGGTGCGTTCGTCGGCGTAGTCGCCCCAGGCCGCGTCGCCCCAGCCGTGCTCTGGAGCGTGGCTGGGCGCGTAGTATCCGTAAGGGCTCAGCTCCTCAGGGTAATGCTTCTCCTGCTCGTACCATCCTTCATCAGCAGTGTAGAAGGCGTGTTGTGGCCTGGAGAAGCGCACCTTGCCCTTGCCTTTGCTCCTGTTCTGGTAGCTGGGTCTGGGCTGCGTCCACGTAGAAGAGCTGGGGCCTTCTACCAGACTCACCCTTGCCTTTTTGGCGGATGTGTACGCGGCCGTGCTGGAGGATCAAGGCGCCAGTGATCTTGTCGAAGATTGTCACATGTCTTGTGGATGTCAACGCCATCTGGTTCTCCGAAGGCGAGAGGCCTGCATGGTCCAAGAGAAGAGAGCCAAGCATGTCGCCGCTCATCAAGATCTTAGGATCTGACTTGGAGACAAATATCCACCAACGCTTCCTTCGGGAGATGTACGAGACCATAGACTCACCGTGCTGTCGAGACAGTGGTCCATATGGTCTCTGCCCCACCCGGAACAGGATCTTCGCTTCCTGCGCCTCTATCGGGAAGAATGAAGTACGAATCGCCATCACCAACTGATCGATCCCATTCGGAATCAGAAGCACGTCCTTACCGATATCTATGGCAGTATCGAATGCGTCACCTCGGAGGCCTTCTACAACCTGGTTGACAACTGCGGTGATCACGAATTGCTGTGGGGCGCCCGTTTCTTGATCCACTGAGGCCAAGGCGGCACTCATGCGCATCTCTGTGCGGAATTCCCACTCGTGGAAGTTGTTCACCGTGCCGTCGTAAATGTCCACTCTTCGTGTCGGACCGCCGGCGTTCGGCCGATGGCGCAGAGAAGATTGTGCCATGGCGCAAGGCTCAGCCCCCTAGCCAGGGAAACTGCCAGTACAGAGAATAAAAAGAGGTAGCGCGACACTGCGACACTCTCTGATGAGACGTGCGCGCGGTGGTACGATACGGGAATCGTGTGGTAGCTCCGCTACCAGTGTTAGTATGATTCGTTTTAGCGCCGTGGCAAAAAAAAAGCCCCTAGAGGTCACACGGCGGCGAGTGGCGCATATACTCACGTGACACATGCACTGGCGCACTGCTGTCATAGGGAACACTGAAGTAGGAGCTCGGCCACAGGAAACCTTCCGCAAAAGCCGAAGAAATCAACGGCACCCTGGAGGCAAGCGGGGTGTTTCTTGGCATGGGTTTCCACTGTGCTCGCATGCTGGGCGGACGGTTCGGCAATGAAGCCCAAGTTGGCGGCGCGCACAAGGGACTTCTTAGGAGGCGGCTGATTTCTTGAAGGCGCCGGCCCTGCATCTAAAGACGAGGCACGCGCCTTCTAGGAAGCAGTGGTGCTTCTAAGAAGCCTTCCCCCTACCCCTGCCCCCCCTGAGCGCGTGGCTGACCAAAAGAGCCAAAAACTTCAAGACAGCGGAGACCAGCTGGGGTAATCAGGTCACCATTGGCATGGTCTGGTCATTGGGAACCCCGCTTTGTGGCACGACGTGCGTTTATTCACTGACGGGTTCCGCTCCAAGGATCATCCAGTGGGCGCTGGGCAACCTCAAGTCCACGTGAACTATCAATAGTGGCTTCTCGTCCTTGGGCGTAGAGCGTGCTGGCCAAATCACGTGCTGCGCCCGCGTCTAACGTGCTCCCGGCTGGTAACTGCGATGAGGCCGTGGCTCAAAAGAAGGTCGCACCACTGAAACAATTCCAGAGGAGATCGCGCCTGACGCCTGTGCGCAATACTCCAAGTGCGAGCCGGTCGCTGTGGGCTCGACTGGGGCAAGAACCTGTTGCGGCTAATTGCGTTCATCGATCGATGCTTACTCCTGCCCGTGTCGCGGCCTGCCGCTCATTCATCGCATGCGACGCCGCGTGCCGCTGTCAATCACTCTGCTGCGCAGTGGCGGGAACCGCCCTTGCTCTGCCTGCGGAGTCTGTGCGGCCCGCTTGGCTTGCCACACAGGCAGGCCAAGGCCAGTCAGCCCAGACACGTCGTTGAGCCAACTCTGTGCGGTCGCGCTCCCTCTCTCTCTCTCTCTCGCTGGCGTTCTCGCTCTCTCTCTCTCTCTCTCTCGTCTTCTCCCTGGTGGAATGCAGTTAGGCGTGCGGTATGCGGGCTCAGTGGAGTGCGTCCTCTCTTGTCGTGGCTCAGGTGAGCTCCGCAAAAGGCACGGCCTACATCGAACGTGGATGTGACTAGCATGTGGTCTCTCTCTCACACACGCTCTCTCTCCCTCGCTCGCTCGCTCGTTTTGTCCGCTCTCTTCCTCTCGGGGCGGACCCGTGTTCCATCCCGAATTATTTGTGACGGTCTCGGTGTGGAGAAGAGGCCCCGGGAAGCCGACGACAGCGATCAACCGTCCGTCGCGACCTCGCTGCCACGCCCAGATCTGAGGACCTCCCTCCCTCTCTCTCTGAGCGACGCCTGGATCTGAGAGGGCAGTCTTCCGAAACTCGGTCCACGGAGCCATCTGGGGAGCGTGCTGGCGAGACTCAAAGCAAAGGTCGGACAGTAGCGACGAGACGACCCAGGACTCCAGGAATCCTACGTCGTGATTTTCACAGCGTGGCTCCCCAGAGGTCTGGACCCATTCCCGAGGACCAACTTCTCATCCCGAGCCACCTCTTTCGGCTGTGATTTTTCCACGGCGCGAGGATGTCAAGGCGGACCCCCCACCCACCCCAAGACCTCGGCCCAACATCGTCGATCCTCGAATCTCGCCCCCCAATCTTCGAATCTCGACCTCGGACCTCGAATCTCGAACCCCGACCCTCAAGACGCCTGGTAGTTTTCGGACCATACATGACTTGGGCATCCAGCGGCCGTTCTGGACGTTCCGAGCACCCTCAGAACACCCTCGGCGAGGCGCAGCTGCTGGAGAGCGTCCCGAGGCTGCAAAGCCGCCGAGAACTGACGAACACGCCTGAAGACTGATCCCCATCTGAGCTCGTCCCCGAACCCCGACCCTCCATGCCCGAACCCAGATCCTCGC